CATACAAACAACTTGGGTTAATTAGGTTAATGGGCCTAATTCTGCCTTTTGTTATCTATAGCACGTACCCAGGTAAACATCCAGATCTCAGCTGCATTTACCTACAATCAACTTGAGTTACAACCAGCCCTTGGGAACTGAGTTCATAAGTCAAGGGCCCACTGTACATGACATACAGTGTTAAAAAGTAAAAAGGTAACTATTGCCCTAGATCAGTGCACACTGAAAGCAACTATTAGCTCTGTAAACCATAGGAAAATCAAAAGAAACCCAAGCACTTCTTTCGTCAGTTCCAATCTGCTCACACAAAAATAAACGACAAATTTATGTGCTCAAATTCTCAGATCATAATTCAGATTGACACACTGGCTCTAAGACTGTTCTAAAAGCATCTGATTTCTTTTTTTTCCCTCATTGAGTTTATTGGTACATTTTAGGTACACAGTACAGTTACATTCATTATTGGGATCTTGTACCTTTACATGACAGGTCTTGGTTCTCATTTTTTCCCCTTGTCCCTGCCCTCCCTTCACCCCCTCCTACCCTCCCCATTTACAAACACTTTATTTCCATTTTTTTCATTTTCTCCTATTTTTTTTCTTTTCCCTTATTACCTTTCCTCTACAGGTGTGAGGCAGAGATCCTGGAAGCCAAATTATATGGATTGCCAAATTACAAATTACAACTGAATCCAGACTTCACCAGGTCTCATACATGAGAGTTAGGGCCTTGGTCAAGTAAGTGGTGTGTCTCAAGAAATGGAACAGGAGCATATGCAAGTAACTGAACAACTCAGGGAACCCTGTACCTCTAAAGCTCACTAAATCTCTGTCACCAGCGCAAACAAAATTTCCTCTGATATCTAATGAGGCTATTGTTGCTTTACATGAAGGTGCTCCAAAGGACCCAGTCTCACTACCCTGCAGAAGGAAGCCATTACTCTCATCCTCCACTCCCCTCCCTGCTTATTAGCTGCATACTCACAACTAGGACTGTGGGCCAGAATGCTCCGAGGCCAATTATAAAGTCATGATTGGTACACACTGTGGGCAAGGTGTGCATACACACCCACACGTGCACACTGATTTTGCAGGACACACATGGGAATAGGTTTTCTACATAGGAAAAAACATAAAATTTTAGATTCAGGCTGGATTTATCTGCATATTATATTTTTTTCTCCTGAAAACTATAGGTTTAACATATTGCGTTTGAGGAGCTGGAAGTGTTTCTAAATATTTTCTTGGTTAGTTGCCCGAAACCTAGTCACAGTAGTGGGAAAAGCAGATCAAGCTGAGATGCAGTGTGGTGTAATATTGAGGACTGAGTTCAAAGATATTGGAACTAGAAATATTAGATATTATTGTGTCTTGTTTTTATGTCCCCAATATGGCCCAGAAAACTCTGCTGAAGGAAATTACCAGAAGCTTTGAGAATGCTTTAGTGATTGTCTAAGGAGGCAAGAAATGCTTACAAGAGATGCTGAACACCTGAAATGTTCCCTCTTATTTCCGATCCTAGCAGAAGTGAACCAATGACACTCGGGAGCAGAATGTGGAACTGTTGTCCGTCTTAAGCAGCGAAACCAATAGCAAAGTCTGAAGCATCCAGCCTTGCGGTGTTTTGATTCTAGGACCTCAATATTAAAAGTGATAATTGCCACAGAGATCCTGTTTGACTTTATTGTTTAAAAAAATATAAGAAAAATATAAAACCCAGTTTCAGGTCTGCTGACTTAAGTCACTCTAATACAGTCCTGTACCGATGTACTAGAACTCAGGCCCCATGAATAAAGGGGAAACAATTTTTAGGGACTATTAGACCCTGATTTGGAGTTAATTAGTCAGAATGTTTAATACTGCCATGGCCCACTACTCAGTCAGGTCAGAAGTGGAAATCTGAGCAGAGTCTACTTCACAATAGTTCCTAAGGTCCTCAGCCCACCCCCCGCTCTGTATCTACCTTTGTATAGAGTTGAACTAGACGTTCTCAGAGATCAGCATAATGACAGAAACAGTCTCCTGGCCTGCAGAGCAGTTCTATATATATTAACAGGCCTGTGCAGGTAGCTGCAATTCTCCCTGCCTACCAAGAAAGCAATCAAAATAACATGACATCCCCAGGGAAAACGTCCATACAGTTGCCACTGTCAGAGTCTTGTTAATGCAACATGCAAAATTCTGTTCTGCAGTATTTCCCTGAACTATTTATTTTGGCTGGTACAGAAGATTGCTGGATCTTCAGAAACAGCAGGGGTCCTTAGTACCTGGGGATCACTGCAAGTTTTACTAGGGTTTGCTACTCCAGATAGGGTCTTCCCTCGGGCATGATCACTAATTCTGTTGTTTTCTATGTAAGTAATTAGAAAACACCAGAGAAAATGTTTTCACCTGGAAGAAAAATGGCAGAGTAATACCTCCTCCTCGGCAATATATTTTCTATCTCTGTACTACAGTTAAATGCAGGGGACACCATCTTTCTATCCCTTTGGACATCATGCTAGTCTATAATACTGATACCATCACGCTGATAGGATCTGAAGACCTGGAAGTATCTGTTGCCTCAAGAGTCAATGAGGGAGGAAAATGCTAAGAAAATGCAGGAGGCAAGCATGTCAGAGAAGTTTCTGGGGGCACAGTTGTCTAAGTCACCTTAGGATGGCCCGTACAAAATAAGAGTGGGATGCAGCACCCTTCACACATTTCACTGAGACGACACCGTGCTTGCCAGGCCTCTTTGGACTTCTGGGTGATACATGCTCTATTTGCCCGTGCTTCTCCAATCTGTTTACCAAGTAGGTAGCTTGAAAGATGTCTCAGCTTTGAGTAGGGCCCAGAGAAGGAAAACTATTCTCCACATTGCAGCAAATGTGGTGAGCATGTGGCCATAAGGATGCTGTGGGTTCAAATGGCACCTGACTGATCCATGGCAGACCGAGTGACAGAAGGCAGCCCTGGGAAGCCTGACGCAGACACTCACTGCGGAGCCTTTCGCAATCAGCCATCCATGACCTACGTCCTCAGTAAGCAACTGTTACCCTATGAGTATGAGAGGTGCCTCTTGGCCGGCTACAGACACTTGAAAAAGATGGAACTTGACCGTGGTCTCTGAGCCATCCATTGTGAATTTGGTATCATCTGAGCCACGAGGCCATAAAAGTGGGTGTGGTTAAGAGAACCCGAGAAAGCAGTGTATACAAGAGCAGGTTCCAGTGGGTCCTGAAGGCACAATGACTGGCTGTACGTGGAAGGTTGCACTCACTTCCAGCATGGCAAACCCTGTGGTATGCTGGCCCCTTCCTCAGCTCACACCTATGTCACACACAGTTACCTCTGGCCAGATCTTCTAACAACCCCACTCAGATCAGCTCCAATGGACCAGAGGGTGGGGGGAAACAGAACTTCACACACCACATCCTCCTGTCAGCTTTGTCCTGAAGAAGAAATGCCACCAGGTAAGAGTTGACAGTGAGTCACGGGCAGAGCCTTGCGTCTTGTGTGTGTGGTGAGGGACTTACTTAGAACAAGACAGCTTTGGGGAAGAGGTATTTTGTATGTTCTGATGGTAGGAAATGATGTCACAGTGGGGCAGGTCATTTGGGGAAGTGTGTGGAATAACTAAGGTAATAAACTCGGTTAATGAAACAGACTGCTTGCTGTAGAAGTCATTCAGCTCCCTTTTCCAACTACCCCAAGGCCTGCTCAATGGGATTGAGTAGGAAATCAGGCTGCACATGGACTCAACTACAGGGAAACCCTGATACTGAGCTGGTTTAACTCTCATTTTCCTTCTTGCTAGCTCAAACACTCTTATTTCTCTATTTTAAGTAAGTCGCTTCTATTTCTTTGTCTTTCTCAGGTCTACTGTTGTACATGTGGTATGTTGATAGTAGCTAAATTTTATCATTTAATTTACGGGGTGCAAATGTTGAAACAACATCATAATGAAATAGAAACAACAGATAGCACTCTGAGATCCTAGACTTGGAGTTGAATTCCAGAACTGACAGGCGTAGTTTTCTCCCTTGGAAGAGATATAAGTATATTGTTAATTGTAGAAGGAATTTTATTATATTGAGAGAAGTTTTCCTCTGGAAATTTCGGAAGGGGGTAAATGCGTATTTGAGGTTGATTGCAGTAAATGTACCGTTTGGCTACCTAAGACCCAAGTCCTTTTATTTTGGAAGAATCCTTCCCCTTTCTGTGAAAACCAAATGGGAGGAAATCTTTCTTCTCCTCTCCCAGCGCTGGCTGCAGAAGGCTGCACGTGATCTAGCGACTCTGAATTCTGAAGGAGTCACAGGCAGATTCACAGTCTAGTCCCAGTGCCAGCATTTGAGTCAAGGGTCCACAAGGGTGGTGGCAGCACTCACTGCAATGGGCACATCACAGTGGTCATGACAAGAAATGACCACAGCTGAGCAGACAGCTTGGGGCAGTTCTTGGCTATCTAACCTCCTTTGGTTACAGAGGTTATGTCTTAGTTGGGTTTTTGTTTTGTTTCTTCATCCTTTTAGATTTTTTCTTATCCAGCATATCCTTACAGTACACTTCTTTTTGCAATACTTAGCCAGAGCTGGTTTCTGTTGTAACATGGAGGCCTGGCCAGCACAAAACCAACTTTCCTCAGTGGAGAAGGGGCAATATTCCCCTCACAGCACCCAAGAGCCTCCCAGCAGTCACCTTGTCGTGGCTGAGACTCTCCCAGCCTTCTTAGTGCCCTTAGCAATCTCTGTGTCATGATTGTGAAATAGTTTCAGATTTCTTTGATCCTTGCTTCCCTGAAGTTTGGAGTATTCATTTACTTAGCCCAATATACCCTTCTTTGCTTATCCTAAGCTGGTATTATCTCTCTAAATGTTTCTGGGATTTCCATAGTTACAGTAAGCTGATCAGACAGCCAGGCATAGTGGTGCATGTCTATAATCCTAGTAACTGGGAGGCTGAAGCAGGAGGATCACCATGAGTTTGAGGCCAGCCTGAGCTACATAGTGAGTTCAAGGCCAGCCTGAACTACATAGTAAAACCCCGTCTGCAAACAAAATGTTTTCAAGGATTATATTCCCTGTGTTTCTTTGATCTTTTGGAGGAATAAAACTGTTCAGGCAAGAGAGAATTCTCCGTCTGATTTGCTTCGAGTGGACTTGCACTCCTGTATATCATTGAGATTCCTCTGTGCAAGCTGTGCCTCACTAGAGATGAACAAGAGGAAGAGTCCATGGAGTGGAGTGTTTGAAAGCAAGCAGTCAGCACACAGAGTGACCAGACTGTTGGGGATGTAGCACCAGGAATGGCTGAGACTAGAGCGCCATGCACGGCTGGAAGTACAGAACAGAGGGCTGGAAGGTCCCGGGGCCTGGCTGGCCCTCCACATAGGGATACTGTTGTGCTTTGGATCTGTAACGTCCTCCCAAAGCCCCACGCACGCGAGGTGGGGCTTGGGAAGGCGATTGGGTTACAGGTGATCCAGCTGGCTTGCTGTTAGGAGGTGGGTCAGCAGGGGGCCAGTTTGGTTCCCTCTGGTCACCTCTGCCTTGCTGACTGCAAGGATACACTTGGATGGGCGCCTCTTCCTCCTGGTTCCTCCCTTTGCTCTCTGCTTCTTGGCTGCCATGACAAGCAGCTTTCCTCCAAGGCAGGCCCTCCCACTGTCATTTCCTGTTTGGAGCCTGCGGACCATGGGCTGAAACTTCTGGAACTGTGAGCCAGTATAAGTTGTATTTAAGTTGTAGATGTCCTTTAAGTCGTAGATGCCAAATATCGTGTCTCAAAAATGAGGGGAAAAAAACATTAGAGTGAGCCAAAGAGTGTGAGGAGCCATTCTACATAATTTCGGGGAAAAATCATTTCATAGTCGAACTATGATTAGGGCCGTCTGAGGCCTAGTCTTCTCGCCACGGGCCGGCTATGGCATGAGGAAACATAACTCCTCTTTGCCTCTGGACACAGCTGAGGCCTTAATGGTCCCTCAATGCTGTGAAACTCAAGGGCAAGATTATATCAGCTGAAGACATCCTGGTTCTTTGAGAATTTAGTGGTAATAAAAAAAAAAGAGTGGTTTCACCTGGGGAGGGACAAATTCCTTATTGGTTTAACCACTTACTGTTAGGAGAATGTTTTGCTCATCTCACCGCCCTAATCAATTTAACCCTCATCAACCTAAGATCTTCATCAGCATAAGCTCCTCCTCCTCATAGGGTTACCGCCACCCTCTGGATCCTCTGATACTCCCTGCAATTATTGCATGAACCCCATAAATAGAGGTAAGCATGGAATGTCTTTGTCTCCGCTCTGAGGCACTGACCTCCAACTCCTCATATACTTTGAAATTACACAAGTCTCTATTGTCTTTCTTTAGCCCTCAATGTCCCCCTGTCTAGGTCATCAGAGGATTGACCGCCCTCTGATAAAAGGGGGCTTCACAGGTTTAGCTAAGGTATTCAGCCAAGACAGTCTGATGCACCTTTCTTCCCTGTGGAAAGGGAACAGGACTGCCACTAGGACTGAGATTTCTACGTCTGTTGGCCAGGGGCACCCCTCTTCTGGAGAGTTGTTTTTTGGGGACCACTGCCAAAGTCAGGCTTCGGTCTGGCCATCTCTACCATTTCTGCACACACTTTCTTTCCAAGTAGATACAGCAGACAAGGTCAGAGGAGAAGTGTCAGTACGGTGTGCTCCCCGGAGAGGGAGCGCCCATACTCTGTCCTTCATTCCCCAGTGCCTGAGGCACCAACTGTAAATGACGGTTCCCTCCTCAAGTGGCTTCTCTTCTTCCACGTCAGCGGACGCTGTGGGCTACTTTGCTCTTTGTCACAGTGCACGGACAATTACACTCAGCTGTGGTGAACACCTGCCAGCCCCTGGGTGTCAGCCTGTGGCACACAAACCTCTTCTGTTTCCTCCTGGAAGCACCACGTCACCTCACCACCAACCACCACCGCTGGTGAGAGCTGTCTGCAGCATCACCTGGCCATGGTCTTGGGCTCTTCTACTGCTCTTACGTGCTGCCAGGGCACCCACCAGGGCCCTCCTCTCTACAGTGAGGAGCGGGCTGAAGGGTCTGCTCTCAGCAAGCTCCCTGTGCTGCTGATACAAGTCAGCGGGACCCCTTTGCGAAACACCCTTTCAGGTCCCAGAAGAGCCACACTGGTCATTTTCATCTGTGACCTCATCTGTGCCAAATCACAAACTTGCAATTTTGTGGAGTATAGGAGTATGTGCCTATAATCCCAGCACTCTGGGAGGCTGAGGCAGGAGAATCACACGTTCTAGTCCAACTTGGGCAATTTAAAGAGACCCTGTCTCAAAAATAAAACAAAACAAACTAAACTAAAAACAGCTTGTAGCAGCTTACCTGCTTGCAATCTGGCAAGAAATAGAAGAAAGAAAACAGAGCTCAGAGCTGGGAAGAAGGCAGACCTAGATTGGATCCTGCTTCTACCATTTACTGTATGTTTTAAAAAAAAACAAAACAAAACACTGGATTGAACCCAGTGCCTTCCCTCTGAGCTACATTCTTTAGTCCCTTTTTCATTCTCTAGTTTGAGACTGGATCTCACTAAATTGCCCAGAGGGAATTTGAATTGCAATGTGCCTCAGCCTCTCTTAATACTAAGGTCACAGCTGTATGCTATCACTCCTGGCTGGGATGGCTCTTAAAAAGACAATAACAACAAAAACAGGCATAGTGGTTCGTACCTGTCCTCCCAGGTACTCAAGAGGATTGCCTGAGCCCAGGAGTTTGAGGCCTGCCAAGGCAATCCGGGGAGATCCTATCTCTTAAAAAAAAAAAAAAGTCTCCTCATTCCAATCCATGCAGAAGCTATTGTGTGAGCCTTAGAGATGGAGTAAGAGGCTTCATTGAATTAGTATGTCTTGCCAGGCACTGGGTACTGAGCTAGGTATGTGTCTGTGCCTAGCAGGAAATTGGCAAATGCAAATCCCCGCTGCCTAACCTGAAGGTCACCGTGAGAGGTCTCCCTTTCCTTGGCTGGCCTTGTACCTAGTCCAGCTGCCTCCTGCCACTCTTAGATTCCTGAGGAATGACACAGGACACATTGCAGATGAATTCCTCCTCCTGCTCCCAGATTAAGGCTTCTGCCTCCAGTCTCTGAGTAGAAAACACTGGAGCACCAAGCTAAGCAATGCAGAAACCAGAGCAGCTTCTCTCCTTTGCCTGTGCAGCTGAGAGGCAGAGGCAGCCCTAAGGGGCATGGAGTTTCCTGCCCCTTGGGCCCTACTGAACCAAAAGAGACAATACCAAAGAGCTTCCCAAGCAGGAGCACATGTGGTCTACTTGGGGCCACGATAAGGGCCACTTCCTGAGGGGAGGAGAAAGAGAACGCATAGGAATGCAGATGACCTTTGTAATCCTTTCCTACTCTTTTCTGGAAAGATTAGAAAGGGGAAAGACTGCTCTGTACAGACCTGCTGCCTATCTTCAATGCTCTGGGTCCAGGGGTAATCTTCGTGGAAGGGGCAGTCAGGAGGCAGGGCAGAAGCATCTGGTCACTGTGACCTGCTGGTTCTCTATCCATCGCCTTCTGGCCTCCTCCTCCTCCACCTGCTCACATTTAAAGTCCCATTCAGTGGGCAGCTGCGGAAGCAGGGTCCTCACTGAATAAAGACCACACTCCCGGGCTGGTCCTCAAGACCTCCGAGACTGGACCAGAACCCGCTTTCTTAGCAGTCCTTTCGGCACATTCATTTAGTTCTCGTCACGTGAATGCTTTGCTTTTCCCAGAATCACTGGTGACTTCCCATCCCTTGCCTTTGTTCATGTTAAATTCTTCTGTAGAACTTTCCCTCCCACCTTCCAGGTCGCTTCCTTTCCTAAGTATTCTCTGACCTGCTTCCAGCCCATCCAGGTGGGGTTTCCCTTGGTTCCTCCTAGGACTACATTTGTCTCTTCTGGTTCATCACTTTTCTGGCCCAACTCACTTTCTCTGCTAGACTCAGCTGACTAGACGGCAGGGATGTTCTTATTTCTCTCCCTACAAAGTCTCTTGCAGGAAGTAGGCTCCTAATAAATGCATGTTCTGTAATTTAGAGTGCAAGTGAGTCCTAACCTTCCAGACATCAGATATTAATGGGATTCAGACTTGGCACTTTCTTTGTTTACACACATGCTGGCAGAGAGACGTCTGAACTTCTCCATCATTTTTGCTCTGTAGTTTCTGAGCATCTTCTTCCTTGGGTCATGTTATAAAGCTGAATTGAGCTGTCACCCCTGAGCCAGGAAAGTAAGAGTTAGGCCAGAGATTTGAAAGCTGAGAACTGGGGCTAAGTATCAAGGAGGAGCCCTGTGGCCATGCAGAGTTTGGGCCAGGGCTGCCTGATCTCAGAGCTGGCGAAGGCTGAACAGATGGATATAAACATCCATACCCTCTACTCGGAAAAAGGGGTGATTTCCAGTCCAAAGCCAACACAAGGCATCGGACAGGAGGCTGGGTTTGGTGCAGGTGGCCCAGTGTGACTTCCTTGCAAGGTCAGCCTCTGGTCCATCTGAACCCCACGGCTCCTTCCACACTGCATCAATGTCCAAGTCTCTGAGCTCAGCTTCTCACTTGTTCTTGGAGCCAGGTCTACAATTTCCAGGAAGCATTTGTCTCCCTCCTTTCCATCTTCTTCAAACCATCCTCTGACCAAGTCTGCCAGCCTCTGGCCAAGCCCATCCCTCTGGCTGCGGTGAAAAGTCAGCTCCTTAGCCATGGCCTGGAAAACCAGATCTTTCTGAGATCACCCATCTGAGCGGCTACTCTGTCCATGCTCCTTTTCTCTTTCCAGCCCTACCTAGCAACAGGGAGTCAGAAAGGAATGGGCACCACCCCAGTGACAGCAGGCATAACACAGGCTGCAGAAGGAAGGTCACCAGAGGTGAACAGATGCCTGCTGACAGCTGGCAGAGGGTGAGGGAAAGCTGGATCTCCTTGATCGGGGGCAGAGGCTGGGCAGTGGGTGAGGCAATGCCTGCCCCCTTTACCTGAAGCAAGTGGACACTGATTGGAATTTCATATGGAATAGGAGCTTCCAAGGACCAGAGCGAGTGGCATCTAGCGACAGAGAATCGGCCCTGCCCCAGAAGAAGCAGGAGCCCACAGCAGTGAAGAGGATGACAGCTGGCAGAGCTTGCTCGGTGCTTTTCCTTCCTTTCTCTCTCTCTTTTTCTTTCCTTCCTTCCTTCTTTCCCTTCCTTTCTTTCTGTACCAGCGACTGAACTGTGGACCTTGTACTTGCGATGGGCTTGCTGCTTTTAGACCTCAATGTATCAACAGTCAGTGTCTCAAAGTCCCCTCACTCCGTGGCCAAATCTAACTGTAAAATCTTCTCCGGCCAGCAGCAACCCTGGTGACAAGAGCACCTCCCCCCGACCTGGCTGCCCGGCTGGCATGGTGAGGAGAGCTCTTCAGCCCTCAGGGACTTCCGGCTCCTACACCGGAGCACTGTTTTTATAGGCTGTTCTTTCCCTGTGGCCTTTAATAAGTAGGTCAAGGTAGTTATCCTGCTTCAAGGGAGAAGTGCCAGGGTTCAAGCACCCAGCTTGATGTCAGGACGCCTGACTTCTATTTCTGGCCCCACAGCAAACAGCTGTGACAGTCTGTACAGGCTCACGTCCCCCTGGGCCCTTCTCTAGGCCTTGAGATTTGTTCCTCCCTCCATGGCAGGGGCTGCCCGAGGCTGGTGCCCAGACAGGGAGCTGCTGTAGGTGCTGGGGCTGATGTCATCTGAGGCTTCTGTGTGGACACAGTGGCGCGAGGCTGGACCTCGGGGAGCCAGAATCCTAGACAAGGACAGGCCCCGGTGATGTCCATGAATACAGATGCCTGGTGTAGGTGAAGGCTCCTGGGTTTCATGAAGTAGCTGTAGCTTATCTCCACTTTTAAACCTGCCTTCTCTGGAACACAGGAGGTCTGACCTGTGGTTCACGGGCAGACATGGACCTTTGTGTGGTGCCGGCTCATCGCAGAGGGGTTCACTGGAGCTGTCAGCGCTGATGATGGTATCGTTCTGGGTGGCCACGTTGACAGGGGTGCACTGTGGCCGGGGAATAATAGCCTTTCCCCAGGCTTAGTTCCTTTGGCATGGCAAGACCCAGTCCCAGGACAGCCCTCGGTACCCAGGCCACCATCACCACATGAGTCACCAGCGAACAGCCCTGGGAGGGTGCAAGTGAAGGGCCTGGCTTGGTCTAGACAGCCAGGCCCTCTCCAGACCCTGGACAGATGGAACAGGAGGCAGAGGAGCAAACACAGGTACAGTAGGGAAAGGGGTGGGGCTTCAGCCCGCCAGGAAGAAGCCCTTGGTTTAAATAAAGGGCAGCAGTTAGCTGGACATCAGCGTGAGCTGCCGAGTGTTGTTCCATGGGGACATCTCATTTGGGCAGTGTTCCAGGCTTGATTCCTGCTCTGCCATGACTAGAACATTGTCTGTCTCGCTGGGCTCAGTTTCCCAGCTGTAAAATGGGAATGGAAGTGCAGCTGCTCCTCACTGACGAGTTTCATCCTGATCAAAGCCACAGTGAGTGGAAAGTGCACTTACCTCAGCAGTGCAGCAGACTGGGGTCCACTGCTCATGGCGCTGGCTGGGAACGGTGGCTCACTGGCACAGCCCGGCACCCGCAGGAGATGTAGAACCACAGACTGCCAGGCCAAGAAGAGATCAAACTGACAACTCCAAGCAGAGTTCCTCCCACGGTCTGTGGCTTTCATGCCTGTGTAGAGTTGGGCCTCGGCAAGCCCTGGAAGTCTGTGCTGAGACCCATGGAGAGTACCCGGCACAGACCCCCTGCATCTGGGGCACACAGTGCCCTCCGTGGCAGATTTCCCTGTAGTGTCTCCTCGCTAACCCACACTGCACTGGAGACTGGGACTTTGGAGTTCTGCTCTCGGGTGTTACACTGTGAGCCAGAGATTGTGTTGCCTCCAATCTATTCCCTGGTTATGTAACAGCAGCGGGGTAAACTTGCCAGCACCACTTCTGCACGTTTTTATTTTGTAGGGGGATTGTACTGGGGGTGGAAGCAGGGCCTCCGGTATCCGGGCAAGCACTTGACACTGAGCTACACAGAGCGGGAGGGTGGGAGGGCCCAGGCTCTGCCGAGCAACACCCTCCAAAGCACGGCAGGAACCAAGGCTGCCAGGTATATATTACCAGATAATATATAACACGGGTGACATCTGAGTCAAAAAACAATAAAACATTTTTAGTCCCAAACACTGCGTGGAGAAAAGCTGACAAATGAACGTGTCTGTATTCAAATTCAAGACGCCTCGAACATCTTGTATTCTTACTGGCCATGTCTGGACCTCTTGGGTGAACATGAAAGCCTTTGGGTTGGGCGCTCAAGTCCTCCTAATGGGCTTGAGCATCTGACCCCTCCTCACAGCCAGATGGGATCACACCCAGGCTCCACACTTTCTCTGCCTGCTACCACCTCTGACCTTTGCATTATATACATTATCTCTGCATTTAGAAATACTGCCTGTCCTCCCAGAGCCCCCCCACTTTTTTTTTGTACCGGAGATTGAACTTGGGCCCTTGCGCTTGCAAGGCAGGTGGCAGAATACCTTTGCATTATATACATTATCTCTGCATTTAGAAATACTGCCTGTCCTCCCAGAGCCCCCCCCCACTTTTTTTTGTACCGGAGATTGAACTTGGGCCCTTGCGCTTGCAAGGCAGGTGGCAGATCCACTGAGCCAGAGCCCCCCACACTGTTTTTGGAAACAGGCTCTTACAATGTGGTCCAGGCTGGCCTTGGGCTCACCATGTACTCCAGGCTGGCCTCAAACTTGATGGATCTTCCTGCCTCAGCCTCCCGAGGGCTGGAATAACAGGCATGTGCCACCATACCAGGTTTATGTAGCCGATCGTGAGTGGTTTTTCCTCATAGAACTCTCCTTTGTTCTTTTAGGTGGCTCCGTAGTCACTCACATATATTATGATTTTCATGTACTTCCCATCTCTTAAGTACTGAGCACATGACTGGGAGTGACCAATAATTATTTGATTTAAAACAGTGAATTAGGGCTGGAGATGTAGCTTCACAAAACAGTGTCTGCCTGGCAAGCATGAGGTCCTGAGTTCGATCCTTGGTACCAAAAAAAAAAAAGCAACAATGAATTAATTGGGTTGGTGGCACATGCTTGTAATCTCAGCACTCAGGGAGGCTGAGGCAGGAGGATTCCAAGTTCAAGCATAGCCTAGAAAATTTAGTGACTTAGTGGGACCCTGTCTCGGGATTTTTAAAAACAATTTTGTATTAGTGTTTTTTATTAGTACATTTTATAATACATAATGATTACATTTATTGTGAAGAGTTTGTACATGTATGTAGCACATCCTACTTCTGATTTGGTCCCCTTCCCCTCTGTTCTCACCCCTCCCTTCATCCCTCCTAAAACTCCCTCCCTGCTCCCTCCTTCCAATTCTTCATCCCCTCCCCATTTGAAAATGCTCCATTTCTTTCTTTCGTTCTTTTCCTTTTCCCCTTTCTCACCACCCTCCATTTCTTGTTCTTCTCATTTGAAAAAGTTCTCCCTATATTCTTTATTTTATCCTTTATTTTCTTGCTTTTTTTTTTTTTTTTTAGACAGGGTCTCACTGTGTAGCTCAGGCTGGTCTTGAACCCATGGCACTCCTGCCTTAGCCTGCCAAGTGCTGGGATTACAGGTGTGCACCACCATGCCTGGCTTTTGCTTTTTATTTAGATTTTGGGTTTCTCATATAAGAGGAAGCATGCACTATTTAAATTCATCTGATTTATTTCACTTAACATTATGGTCTCAAAGTGTATCCATTTACCTATGAATGCCTCACATTTATCCTTCTTTATGGTAGAGTAGTACTCCATCGGGTATAAATACAATTTCTCTACCATTCATCTGTTGATGGGCATTTGGGCTGCTTCCAAGATTTAGCTATTATAAACTGGGCTGTTATAGACATGGTATGCACGTACCCCTGTAATATGATGTCTCTTTGGGGGGAAGATACCTAGAAGGGGAATAGCTGAGTCAAAAGGAATTTCTAGTTTTAGTTTTTTGAGGAGTCCCCACACTCCACACTCCAACACTTAGTAGAAGGGTTCCTTTTAGCCCTGCAGTCTCCCCAGCATCTGGTATTACACTATTTGATTTCTTGATGATGGACATTCTTCCTAAAGAAAGACAGAATCTCAGTGTTGTTTTAATTTGCATTTCTCTAATAGCCAGCAACACTGAACATCTTTTCGTGTTTTCATATTTATTACCCATCTGTACTTAGAAGTATCTATACATTTCACATGCTCATTTTTGACTGGATCTTTTATGTATTTTGGGGTTTTGTTTTGTTTTGTTTTTAGTTCAAGATTTTTTTTTTTTTTTTGGTGTTTTGAGACGGGGTCTCTCTATGTAGTTGAAACTGACCTGGAACTCACTATGTAGCCCAGGCTGGTCTCGAACTCACAGCGATCCTCCTGCCTCAGCCTCCCAAGTGCTAGAATTACAGGCATGAGCCACCACGCCCGGGAAGGCAAAAATTTTTAAAAGGACTGACTGAAGATGTAGTTCCGTGCAAAGGCCCTGGTTTTAATTCCTAGTATTAAGTATGAAAGAAAGGAAGAAAAAGGCCACCCACCCACAAAAACCAAACCATTAAATTAAAATATTAACCTGTGAATCCTCTGAATGTCTAGAGGGTGGAGCCTCTCAGGCAGAATTGAACAGGTTCTTCCTTGTGGTATAACGTTTTCACCAGCAGCATCTGGGCTCCATCTTTATACCAGCACAGCTCTCCTACCTCCCTCTCTGCGCCTACTCCAGCGATTCCTCAGCACACAGCTGAACAGGAGGGCGAGTAGGAGGGAGCATGTCCAGGTGGCCTGCTTGAGCCAGATTCCAGACTTTGCTTCCTGCCCTGGTTCTGGTCTCTCAGCAGGCCTGGGGCCACCTGTCTGGTCCTGCAGCTGGAGGAGGAGGAAGGGCATCTTCGGGAGTCCCTGGAGGGTCTACACTAAATGTGAGCTCCGAGAATCTCCTCGGGGATTCCAAGGGGCCTCTCATGGGGCTCTCGTGCTGCCGAGAGAGGTACAGAAAGAAAAATAAAACTTACAAACGGGAAGAAGTACCGTATGAGGAGGGGGGCTCAGGATATTACCAGAAACAGAAAACTTAGCTTTGGGGTACAGCAGAGACAGCACTGTTTCAAGAGCCCTGCAACATGAGTCTTCTCTCTGGTCTTGGAAGGAAAGAGACAACAAAGAGGCAAGTGCCCACAATATACTTTTGTGTAGGTTTCATTCAAATTTCCCTACAAAAGTGAGGTTGTGAGGGTAAAAGTTCAGCCTGCAAACATGCATCGCAGTGTACGTAGGAAACAGCACACATTAATTAAGCTCTCAAGTTAAAGAAAGTAAAATGAAGGGCACAGCACTATTTCTAGGGTCCTTCCCTCTCTAAATTCTCCCAGTAGGATATTTCTTCCACCAGGAAGAAAGAATAACCCTCAACTATGGACAAAAAGACAAAGCAGGGACTAAGAGACAGAAAGGCCAGGGCCCCCTGAGATGCGATATTCAGAGCTAGGCAGGCGAGAGCTCCGAGTGAAGGCCGTGGGCTAAAGCCCGCCGCTGTGTCTCTCGGGCGGTCACAGGTGGAGTGGAATTCAAGTCGCTCTCGGGACGCAGCTTGCAAATGTACTCGTGTAAATGTGGGGCAGGAAGAGCAGGCGGCCTTCCCTCAGCGCCTGGGGTCGGGAGTGGGGTGCGCTTCCTGCGTCCCCGGCAGCCGAGGGCGCGAGGGCCGCCTGGCTGA